GGATTCGACTATAATAATGAGCACAGATGCTTACACAACGTGTCTACAGGAACCATGCGAGGTAATGTGAAACACACTGAAGCACAAGTCGTAAATACAGCCATGCAAGATAATATGTACTGTTTTCACAATGAGATGCAGAAATGACATGAATAAGTAGTATGGTTATTTAAATATTTCTGTGAGGAAGGTGAGTCAGCATTTAGTAGAATGCAGGCTAAAAAAACAGCAGTCACAGTGACTTCAGCGCTAAAATGGGACAAAATCAATTGAATGAACTGGCTGAAGGTGAGTACCACACTCATTTTGAATGGCAGTGAAGAGCTTTAGGTGGAACTTTCAAAAGGAGTGGCTGATGCATTATGAAGACAGCACGCATGCAGAAAACATGAAATAGTCACTGAAAAGTGCTCATGGAAGAACAGAATAGATTATATATTATTCACTGACCAGAGCATAGTGCAAAATGTAGAAAGTATTGGGTGAAATTATGTAGTGGACACAGCATGGTAAGGTGCCAAATAAGACTAAAGCTAAAAATAAGGCAACATTTCGCTTATACTAAACAAGCTGATTTTACCCACAAAGCACAGAACTTCAAAACACCAGCTTCGTGGCAAGTTCACTCAAAGTCGGCACAAAAGACAGTGCAGGGGATTGAAATCAGTATAAGATTTGACGAACCACGTAGAAAGACATCACGCATATTCTCACAAGAGATTAGGCAACATATCGCACACTGCCAAGGTATAGGGATATCCATTATAAACTTTGAAAAAGCATTTAATCAGGTAATAGAAGCTTCAAGTTGCCGGGGCGGATTGGCATTGTTAGACATAACAAGCTGTTAAATGGACTTAACAGGCTACTGACGATGATGATACTCTCAAATATTCAAAGTATCTGTGCTATTGACGTGTTCTTTACTAGCCATCTTACCGAGTCTGAAACCCTATTCTTCTGCTGTGCAGCCCATAACCAAGACCGAGACTGAGAAAGAAGCAACACTCAAGGACACAAGAGTAAGTATGCTAATACTACGGCATTCTGGGGCCTTGTGACAGCCGTTACTTGGCATTCACCTTACCATAATGATGCCCCCTTACAACTTGATGCATTGTGTAAACTACAAAATGTATAGATATTGGTTTTCCCTACAGTGTAAATTTTTTGGTATACTGGAAATGTTGGCACCAAAATGTCACGTTGCATGCAGGCGATATAGGTGGATATTTGTTTCAACTTTTAAATTTGAGCTTTTAATTATGTACGAATTTCATGTCAGTCTTTGTAGTGCACGGGCTCAAATAGCTGCCCTTTTTCTGCCACAAGTTCAAAGAAAAATTCATGATCTTTCAACATGTTGTTAGGATTCTCATCATTTTGAGTTGTAGGGAAGTACCCTGTACATATATATAACGTAATCGCCCCGCCACGGTGGTCTAGTGGCTATGGTACCCGGCTGCTGTCCCGCAGGTCGCGGGATCGAATCCCCGGCAGCGGCGGCTGCATTTCCGATGGAGGCGGAAATGTGTTAGGCCCGTGTGCTCAGATTTGGATGCACGTTAAAGAACCCCAGGTGGTCAAAATTTCCAGAGCCTCCACTACGGCGTCCCTCATAATAATATGGTGGTTTTGGGACGTTAAACACCACATACCACCTATGTAAGGCAATCGTGTGCATATTGATGTTGGAGCTAATGCGGCTGATAATAATGAACCGTGGCTAAAGCCATTTTAATGAGTGGACAGGTTTAAGGCTTACTTGTTAAGTCTGGTGCAGTTTTGCACTCTGCCATGTATTTCTGCCTTTGTACCTACATCTGTTAACATGACTCCTCAACTGAGTCATGTTACTACAGGTAACATGACTCAGGTAAGTGGTTGCTTGGGCGTGTTGGTATGACATACAAGTTGTAAGGAAACAGCACGAAAAACCAGACAATCAGTTGCACTCTCAGAAAATAAGATTGCATTTTTATCAGGTTATTTGTTATGATGTTGATATTTATTTTTTATCTTTGACGATCACTTTTTTTTCGTTCCACTACATACGTTTACATGCGCAGGTGGAAGAACAAACTTTTGTTGTAATTCAATGCTCTGTATGTGTCCTTCTTTGTCTGATTTCTCCTTTTTAGCGCTGTATCCCTTTAACACCTGTATAGGTCTTTTCCTGAAGAACTTCCAAGTGCTGGCATGGCTTTGTGCTAAAATGTGATGCAGGCTAAAAAAACAGTAGTCACCAGTGGCTTCAGCTCTAGAATGGGACAAAGAGAATTGATCGAACTGGCTGCAGGTGATTACCATACTCATTTCGAATGGCAGTGAAGAGCATTAGGTGGAACTCTCAAAAGGAGTGGCTGATGCATTATGAAGACAGCACGCATGCAGAAAACAAGAAATAGTCACTGAAAAGTGCTCATGGCAGAACAGAATAGATTATATATTATGCACTGACCAGAGCATAGTGCAAAATGTAGAAAATATTGGGTGAAATTATGTAGCGGACACAGTATCGTAAGGTGCAAAATAAAAATAAAGCTAAAAATAAGGCAACATTTCGCCTATACAAAACAAGCCGATTTTACACACAAAGCACAGAACTTCAAACACCAGCTTTGTGACAAGTTCACTCAAAGTCGGCACAAAAGACAGTGCACGAGATTGAAATCAGTATAAGATTTGACGAACCACGTAGAAAGACATCACGCATATTCTCACAAGAGTTTAGGCAACATATCGCACACTGCCAAGGTATAGGGATATCCATTAAAAACTTTAAAAAAGCATTTCATCAGGTAATAGAAGCTTCAAGTTGCCAGGGCGGATTGGCATTGTTAGACATAACAAGCTGTTAAATGGACTTAACAGGCTACTGACGATGATGATACTCTCAAATCTACAAAGTATCTGTGCTATTGACGTGTTCTTTACTAGCCATCTTACCGAGTCCGAAACCCTATTCTTCTGCTGTGCAGCCCATAACCAAGACCGAGACTGAGAAAGAAGCAACACTCAAGGACACAAGAGTAAGTATGCAAATACTACGGCATTCTGGGGCCTTGTGACAGCCGTTACTTGGCATTCACCTCACCATAATGATGCCCCCTTACAACTTGATGCATTGTGTAAACTACAAAATGTATAGATATTGGTTTTCCCTACAGTGTAAATTTTTTGGTATACTGGAAAAGTTAACACCAACATGTCACGTTGCATGCAGGTGATATAGGTGGACATTTTTTTCAACTTTTCAAATTTGAGCTTTTAATTATTCACGAATTTCATGTCAGTCTTTGTAGTGCACGGGCTCAAATAGCTGCCCTTTTTCTGCCACAAGTTCAAAGAAAAATTCATGATCTTTCAACATGTTGTTAAGCTTCTCATCATTTTGAGTTTTCGGGAAGTACCCTGTACATATATATAAAGTTATCGCCCCGCCACGGTGGTCTAGTGGCTATGGTACCCGGCTGCTGTCCCGTAGGTCGCGGGATCGAAATCCCGGCAGTGGCGGCTGCATTTCCGATGGAGGCGGAAATGTGTTAGGCCCGTGTGCTCAGATTTATATGCACGTTAAAGAACCCCAGGTGGTCAAAATTTCCGGAGCCTCCACTACGGCATCCCTCATAATAATATGGTGGTTTTGGGACGTTAAACACCACATACCACCTATGTAAGGCAATCGTGTGCATATTGATGTTGGAGCTAATGCGGCTGATAATAATAAACCATGGCTAAAGCCATTTTATTGAGTGGACAGGTTTAAGGCTTACTTGTTAAGTCTGGTGCAGTTTTGCACCTCTGCCATGTATTTCTGCCGTTGTACCTACATCTGTTAACATGACTCCTCAACTGAGTCATGTTATTACAGGTAACATGACTCAGGTAAGTGGTTTCTTGGGCGTGTTGGTATGACATACAAGTTGTAAGGAAACAGCACGAAAAACCAGACAATCAGTTGCACTCTCAGAAAATAAGATTGCGTTTTTATCAGGTTATTTGTTATGATGTTTATATTTATTTTTTATCTTTGACGATCACTTTTTTTTCGTTCCACTGCATACGTTTACATGCGCGGGTGGAAGAACAAACTTTTGTTGTAATTCAATGCTCTGTATGTGTCCTTCTTTGTCTGATTTCTCCTTTTTAGCGCTGTATTCCTTCAACACCTGTATAGGTCTTTTCCTGAAGAACTTCCAAGTGCTGGCATGGCTTCGTGCTAAAATGCAATGCAGGCTGAAAAAACAGTAGTCACCAGTGACTTCAGCTCTAAAATGGGACAAAAAGAATTGATCGAACTGGCTGCAGGTGATTACCACACTCATTTCGAATGGCAGTGAAGAGCATTAGGTGGAACTCTCAAAAGGAGTTGCTGATGCATTATGAAGACAGCACGCATGCATAAAACAAGAAATAGTCACTGAAAAGTGCTCATGGCAGAACAGAATAGATTATATATTATGCCCTGACCAGAGCATAGTGCAAAATGTAGGAAGTATTGGGTGAAAGTATGTAGTGGACACAGCATGGTAAGGTGAAAAATAAGACTAAAGCTAAAAATAACACAACATTTCGCTTATACAAAACAAGCTGATTTTACACACAAAGCACAGAACTTCAAACACCAGCTTCGTCGCAAGTTCACTCAAAGTCGGCACAAAAGACAGTGCACGTGATTGAAATCAGTATAAGTATTTGACGAACCACGTAGAAAGACATCACGCATATTCTCACAAGAGATAAGGCAACTTATCGCACACTGCCAAGGTATAGGTATATTCATTATAAACATTAAAAAAGCATTTAGTCAGGTAATAGAAGCTTCAACTTGCCAGGGCGGATTGGCATTGTTAGACATACCAAGTTGTTAAATGGACTTAACAGGCTACTGATGATGATGATGATACTCTCAAATCCACAAAGTATCTGTGCTATTGACGTGTTCTTTACAAGCCATCTTACTGAGTCCGAAACCCTATTCTTCTGCTGTGCAGCATATGACCATGACCGAGACTGAGAAGGAAGCAACACTCAAGGACACAAGAGTAGGTATGCAAATACTACGGCATTCGGGGGCCTTGTGACAGCCGTTACTTGGCGTTCACCTCACCATAATGATGCCCCCTTACAACTTGATGCATTGTGTAAATTACAAAATGTATAAATATTGGTTTTCCCTACAGTGTAAATTTTTTGGTATACTGGAAAAGTTGGCACCAACATGTCTCGTTGCATGCAGGTGATATAGGTGGACATTTGTTTCAACTTTTTAAATTTGAGCTTTTAATTATGTACGAATTTCATGTCAGTCTTTGTAGTGTACGGGCTGAAATAGCTGCCCTTTTTCTGCCACAAGTGCAAAGAAAAATTCATGATTTTTCAACATGTTGTTAAGCGTCTCATCATTTTGAGATGTAGGGAAGTACCCTGTACATATATATAATGTAATCGCCCCGCCACGGTGGTCTAGTGGCTAAGGTACCCGGCTGCTGTCCCGTAGGTCGTGGGATCGAAATCCCGGCAGCGGCGGCTGCATTTCCGATCGAGGCGGAAATGTTGTAGGCCCGTGTGCTCAGATTTGGGTGCACGTTAAAGAACCCCAGGTGGTCAAAATTTCCGGAGCCTCCACTACGGCGTCCCTCATAATAATATGGTGGTTTTGGGACGTTAAACACCACATACCACCTATGTAAGGCAATCGTGTTCATATTGATGTTGGAGCTAATGCGGCTGATAATAATAAACCATGGCTAAAGCCATTTTAATGAGTGGACAAATTTAAGGCTTACTTCATACGTCTGGTGCAGTTTTGCACCTCCGCCATGTATTTCTGCTGTTGTACCTACATCTGTTAACATGACTCCTCAACTGAGTCATGTTACTAAAGGTAACATTACTCAGGTAAGTGGTGGCTTGGGCGTGTTGGTGTGACATTCAAATGGTAAGGAAACAGCATGAAAAACGAGACAATCAGTTGCACTCTCAGAAAATGAGATTGCGTTATAATCAGGTGATTTTTTATGATGTTGATATTTATTTTTGTCTATGACGATCACTTTTTTTTCGTTCCACTGCATACGTATACATGCGCCATTTGAAGAATAATCTTTTGTTGTAAGTCAATGCTCTGTATGTGTCCTTCCTTGTCTGATTTCTATTTTTTTTGCGCTGTTTCCTTCCAACACCTCTATAGGGTCTTTCTCTGAAGAACTTCCAAGTGCTGGCATGGCTTTGTGCTAAAATGCTTGACTGCGACTCTGAGTGCCTTGATTCTGTCTCGTACCCTGTTTTTTATTTCTTATACTGCATTGTTTTAGTGCATGAGGTCACATGAATTTTTGTACCACATGCCAAGTTTTTCCAGTGTCTGATGAGGTACTTAAAGCTGTCATTTTAAAGGCAACAAATAGCAGGTGGGTGTAAATGTGCACTGCTTCTCTTCCAATAAAAAAAAGAATATATAAGGGGCTCTTGAAACTTTGCACTGAAAAGTGCTAGTTTTTTTTTTGAGAACAAAACTTGTTTGCTGACATTTCTTGAGTGTTTAATACAATCTGGGATGAGCATAATAGTGGTAGATTACGCATATGAAATACGATGCAGCACAGGTAATATTTGATAGCCAAACGAACTTCAAAAAAAAATGAAAGAGGATGAATTGATGAATGTCTGCTCCAGTAAGCACTTATTAAATCTCTGTTTAGTTATTATCACTCCCAAAACTCAAAATATAATTTCACATTTCTCCTGCAGCTGTCAGAGGGCACCCTTGAGGTTCCAGGTATAGCTTCGGCCACTGGACTCCCCAGTCCACGAATCATGAGGCGGTGATGCGCACTGCTTCTCTTTCAATAAAAAAAAGAACATATTAGGGGCTCTTGAAACTTTGCACTGAAAAGTGCTGCTTTTTTGTGAACAAAGCTTGTTTGCTGACATTGCTTGAGTGTTTACTACACTCTGGGATGAGCATAATAGTGGTAGATTACGCATATGAAATACGATGCAGCACAGGTAATATTTGATAGCCAAACGAACTTCAAAAAAAATGAAAGAGGATGCTTTGATGAATATCTGCTCCAGTAAGCACTTATTAAATCTCTGTTTAGTTATTATCACTCCCGAAACTCAAAATATAATTTCACATTTCTCCTGCAGCTGTCAGAGGGCACCCTTGAGGTTCCAGGTATAGCTTCGGCCACTTGACGCCCCGATCCAGAAATCGATGAGGCGGTGATGCGCACTGCTTCTTTTCCAATAAAAAAAGAACATATTAGGGGCTCTTGAAACTTTGCAATGAAAAGTGCTGGTTTTTTTGTGAACAAAGCTTGTTTGCTGACATTTCTTGAGTGTTTACTACACTCTGGGATGAGCATAATAGTGGTAGATTACGCATATGAAATACGATGCAACAAAGGTAATATTTGACACCAAACGAACTTCAAAAGAAAAAATGAAAGAGGATGCATTCATGAATATCTGTTGTAGTAAGCACTCATTAAATCTCTGTTTAGTTATTATCACTCCCGCCCCGCCGCGGTGGTCTAGTGGCTAAGGTACACGGCTGCTGACCCGCAGGGCGCGGGTTCGAATCCCGGCTATGGCGGCTGCATTTCTGATGGAGGCGGAAATGTTGTAGGCCCGTGTGCTCAGATTTGGGTGCACGTTAAAGAACCCCAGGTGGTCTAAATTTCCGGAGCCCTCCACTACGGCGTCTCTCATAATCATATAGTGGTTTTGGGACGTTAAACCCCACATATCAATCAATTAATTATTATCACTCCCACTACTCTTAAAATATAATTTCACATTACTCCTGCAGCTGTGAGAGGGCACCCGTGAGGTTCCAGGTATAGCTTTGGCCACTGGACTGCCCGGTCCACGAATTGATGAGGCGGTGATGCGCACTGCTTCCTTCTCTTTCAATAAAAAAAAGAACATATTAGGGACTCTTGAAACTTTGCACTGAAAAGTGCTGCTTTTTTTGTGAACAAAGCTTGTTTGCTGACATTTCTTGAGTGTTTACTACATTCTTGGATGAGCATAATAGTGGTAGATTACGCATATGGAATACGATGCAGCAAAGGTAATATTTGATAGCCAAACGAACTTCAAAAGAAAATTGAAACAGGATGCATTGATGAATATCTGTTCCAGTAAGCACTTATCTTATTAAATCTCTGTTTAGTTATTATCAGTCCCACTACTCTTAAAATATAATTTCTCATTACTCCTGCAGCTGTCAGAGGGCACCCTTGAGAATCCAGGTATAGCTTTGGCCACTGAACTCCCCGGTCCACGAATCGATTAGGCGGTGATGCAACAGTGCAGAGAAGATTAGAATGCTGCTGCAGAAGCACTGGGGGATCGTCTACAACCATGAGTGAACCAATGGGACGGAACTTGCATGCAAATTGAAGGCCCCAATCTTTTGGACAAGCTGTGCAATGTCTATGTGTATACTAAAGTCTTGATTTGATTTCTATTCACTGGAATCGACTATCATGCGGTAGAAAAACATTAAAATGAACAGATCTTGAAGATCTCGAAGCATTAGTTTGAAGGAATTTCAGTCTAGTATGCTGTCCTATTTGCAGAAAATAATTTCTTGTTACCGAACAATACTTAGCGGTGATATGTACATACGCTATTTCTCCATTCACTACCTATGTTGATCAAAATTGCTTGCTCAGTGACATTTAGTCTATGTTATCAGATAATATTTAAAGTCTGTTGAAGATTTTTAGAAAAAAGGTTAGGTGATCTTTTATTGCTTTTCATTTCTAAGTATGTTTTTTTTTTGCTTGGGTTATCAGTGCTTTAAACCATCTTTGTAAGTCACTCTTTGTTTTTTGTCACCTGATGCAAAGTAAGTGCTTTGCCAATGTGCACATGTTTTCATATTTCACATTGTTATGCCAAAAATAACTGCATATGCTCATTCCATTTTACCGCACCAGCAGTTACCAGTTTGTGCACAAATCGTCTGTGTACTGCTTGTTTTTGAAACAGTGTTATGAAAGAGAAGACTGCAAAGTAAGTGTTAGAAATTTCAGCATAATGCAGTGGCCTTCCGACTGACTTTTGTTCCATTTCTCATTTGTGAAATTTAGTCACTCATAATGTCAAAACGGTTACACACTTGGGGACTTTTCCAGCTCTTGTTTGTATTGTAAGTGACTATGTTATTGTATGTTTATTGTATAATTATTGTACGTTTATTTTCATGTTCTGACTGAGCCGGTACCAAGTGTGTTGGCACTTTTTAATTTATTGTGAAGAGAGTTCTTTACAGTTTTCTGACAATTTTTTTGCATATCATAAACTCCATAAATTTCTTTTGTGTGCTCTCCCTGTTCTGAACGTTGTCATGGTATTACTCTTTAATTGGTGCAATTTCCTGTTGTGTTTGTTTTCGTGTTCTGATTCCGCCAGTGCCAAGTGTGCTGGTTTTTTCTTATTTATTGTGAACGGTGTTGTTTGCAGTTTAGTTTTTCGACAATTTTTTTAAATGCTTGTCATAAACTGCATAATTTTCTTCATGTGTGCTCTGCCTGTTCTAAAAGTTGTCATGTTATTACTCTTTAATTGCTGTGATTCAATGACAGAAATAAAATTTCTTGTTTCTTTGGCCAAAAATGTTGCATCTGTATGTTGGTCTAAAATTTCCATTATTCATCATGCTATTTGGACTGTCACTGCATGTGAAGTACCTTTAGTGTTGTTAAGTCATTCATAGAAAGGTAGTTATTTATACAAAACAGGGTCTCTGCCTTTCAGAATGTCTGAGATTCTTCACTGTAACTTCATTTATTTATTTATTTATTATTGTTTTATTTATTTATTTATCCTGAGTGCTCAATGGCTTTGCAGGGGCCAGTCGGAATACATTATACATAGAGAAATAACGAAACAAATACTAGCAGGTTTACGTTGAAAAAAAAACAAATAGAAAAGTAATAAGTGCAGCAAAGGTGCATGAGTGGTGAGGCATTTAAAAGTCTCTAGCATCAACTGCCTATGTCGTAGTTCTGGTGGTTGCAATTTCAAGAGGTCATGGAAACAAATGAATTAAAACAAAATGTGTGTATGAAAATGCCTACGTTGGGAGGATAAGTATGAGTTGAACAGTACACAGGGGTAGCTGAAACTGCTACGAAAGAAAAACTTCATGCAGGAAACTCGGGATAAGAAAGAAGGATCACAAACAAGCTTTACAGGGGTGGTAATGATTAGGTGCTCTTATGGTGGTAGCCCTGGCAGTAGTACAGCAACAAAGTTTGAAAGTCAATGCGCAGTTTTTTGGAGAGCGGCGCGCGCTGTCTCGTTTGTCTCCTCCGCAAGGTTACACGCGCCAGTGTATGCAGAGCCCCAAGCGACATCGGAGCGCTTTGGGGACCGGTTTCGGCGGCCGCTTTTCACGCCTCTCCATTCTAGCCACCCTAACGAGACAGCACGCGCCACTATCCCCAAAAAATTACTCCCCTGCTGTGTGGTGGTGACCCGTTTTCGGTAAAATAATTTTGATCGAGCAAGTGTAGGGCAGTGCATGGCACCTAAGCTCTTTGAAGTCTCATCTCTGAAAACCATTCTTGAAAAGGCCTTGATGTGTTTAGTTTAACGTCCCAAAATCACCATATAATTATGAGAGACGCCGTAATGGAGGGCTCCGTAAATTTAGACCACCTGGGGTTCTTTATCGATTATACTCCAAGATCAGAAGTTTGAATCAATGCGCCCGCGCTGCGGGAGCCAGAATATCATTTTAATAATCCTCGTATTTATAATTCACATCTCATAAAGCATTCGATAAACATGGTTGTAGTATCATAATTTATCTTGCTTAGATGAACGTCTACCCAAGTGTTTGTCTGACTAGGCACGAAGAAATAAATGTAGATTTTACCTATTCGTAGAAGTGTTTAGGATGAACATTGTCTTACAGGCGACCTTACCTATTAACCACCTTAAACCACGAATACATTGACACTTTGTTTTTTCTTCTGCCATTCAGAACTTCCTATAAATCTTCTTAAATATTGCAAGAAACGTATCTACGATTGGCTGTCTTGCGCATTTTAAAAATTATTCTTATTACTGTATTGCATCATTTGCTGTGATGTCTCTGTGTATCAGTGTATGTTTTTGATCCTGATGATTTTTTACATTTGATAATATTGTGTGTAATTATTTCTTACGATTATTTCCCAACTGTAGCGCTGTAGATATATGTATTTTAAATAATGAAAGTCGTCACATTAGATGCTTCGCCCAGCTAATTCACTTTCCCGAATAGTAGATCTCCCGGAATTTCGGTCACTAATTATTGATTTTTGCTAATAATGTTCATGCCAGGTCATGATACATATGTACTACCTCGATATCTATTTGTGGAGCTTTGTTTCATAACTTTTGTATTCGTACTTGGTGTCATTTTATACTTGTAAAGTTCATTTTTATTCTACATGTATGAATGCCTATCATGTATTGCTGCTTTGCCAACTTGTGACTGGATAGGTACTTTGTCAGAAGACAGAAGAGAACTTGGAGTGGGGTTCTTGACAGAAGAGAACTGGGAGTGGGGTTCCTAATAAACAGAAAGATAGCTGGCAACATAGAGGAATACTATAGCATTAATGAAAGGGTGGTAGGTATCGTAATTAAACTGAATAAGAGATACAAAATGAAGGTGGTACAGGCTTACGCGCCTACATCCAGCCATGATGATGCTTCAGTTGAAAGCTTCTATAAAGACATGGAATCGGCAATGAGTAAGGTAAAAACACAGTATATTATAGTGACGGGCGACTTTAATGCAAAGGTAGGGAAGAAGCAGGCTGGAGACCAGGCAGTAGGAGATTATGGCATCGGCACTAGAAACGCCAGA